AGAGAGAGACAGAGAGAGACAGAGACCACGAAAACTGCTGCCGATCTTGTCACGTTTTGCTGACAGCTGTCCTCGGTCTTTCGGCTACGCTTGCCTAATTTTTCTTCTTCTTCCCACCTTTTTTGGCATCTTTGCTTGTGTCCTGGCCAGATCCCAGCGCTGTCGCTGAGAAGGCGCGGGCAATCTCAGATGAGCTCCTGAGCCTTTTTCGGCTTCGGCTCGTCGTCGTCGTCTCGCTCTTTGGGTTCGAGCCATGCCACCGGATGCCTGTCGAAGACACAGCGGAAAAGGGAAGGATTTGAGGTGCCCAGCTTAACCTGTTCCACATCGGCCAGGGCGGCAGGCACATGAGGGTCACAAAGAGCGTTGTACCTTTCGAGACTGCTCAAAGATGCATCTTAGAATCGTCAGTGGTGCCGGAAAAATAGCCAAGCTCAGGAAGCGGCCAAATATCCAGAGAAACGTGTACAAAAACCTGTGCTCACGTTAGCAGCAAGTTAAATCATCACGCAAAGCAATGACTGCTGAAAATACCGCTGCCTCGCCGCAAAGAAACCGTGAATGTAACCAATCACGCCTGATGTGCATGGCAAGGCCATGCCGCCCGTGATCGCAGCTGAAACACAAAAGGCTACTGCAGGCCAAGCCTGATGTCCAAATGAAGTAGAACTGCATGTTAAAGGCCTGGGGACATCTCGCGAGTGCCTTGTGCTGTGCGGCTCCTCCTTTTGCCGCTCAGGCTTCCAGCCTGTTTCTGACCCACGAAATCCATGCTGCCCGCTTTCAGCATGGCGTAGAGCTCAAAGACTGGAGCCAGGAGCCAAGGTTAAGGAATCTGTCTGGAGACGAGGGCACTGCGCATGCTACCTCCCACCATCTTCGCGGCGCCGTGGAACGCCCGAAGGAGGCGCTGTCAGCAAAACTCCTACATATCTAGTCTTGAGGCTGTACCGTCAGCAGCACACGGAAGCGACTGAACACAAGGGAACTCAGCCCAGATGTGCCAATCAAAGCTCGAATCCAGCTCTGCTCTCCTGTCACTGTCATGCCCTCGTCACAGCGCGTTTTTTTCCCGTGTTTCGGGCCACGGGAGTCGGAGGCACCGCGTTGGACATGGGCAGTCCCTTGCTATCGCCAACAGCTCCGCTGGCTGTGGTCTCTGTGTTGCAAGTGCCCGACGTCCTTGTGTGACATGGAGACGATGTCCAGGAGCTATCTCCAGCTAATCTTGGGAGGCCAGCTCAATGCTACAGCCCTCGATGCATCTCAAAAGGCGGGGCAAACACGGACTCTGGATCCATCACTGCCCATGCAGACCACCGGCATCATGTGCATGCTGGCGAGCAGGGGAACACATACATCTGGGTGGCAAAAACAGCGTGCATCGATAAGCTGAAGTTTGTGGTCGGCTCTGCTTAACAACTTGATCATCTGAGACAACTTCCCCAGCGAAACTTGCTCGACACTCGTAGTAGACTCACCAGCATACGAAGTCGCATGCAGCACGTGCAGCCCGCGCCTTGATGACAAAGCGATGTCATCGAAGACCATCTGGGGCTCAAAGGAAAATCTCGTCTCGTCTTGCTTCACAAGATAGGAAATATGGGCTGGGCAGGGCCTCCGCCGGCTCCGAGTTAATGGCAATCGCCAGAGTTCCGAAGGGCAGGTGCAAGCCACGAAGATCCACCTCTCAAAGGGCGGTGGTGCGGCTTCAGCTCATGCAGGTATGCAGAGCTATGGCTCGCTTTGCCCGCCTCGACGTGCACAAAGTCGCCTTCCTTCAACATCCGGTCGCCACCTGCGGAGCGTCGAAGCAGCGGAGCCCCACGCGTTTTTCGGGCCCCTACATCTGGCAGCTTGTCTTTCGGATGGAAACTCTGCGCCGCGCACGCCCTTGCCAAGCACCGCTTTTGCGGCGGCTCTCTGGGCCGTCGGCATCAGGTTGTTACATTCTACATTGCACGGTTTGAAAGCGTGCGAAACTGCGAAACGACCAACCAGGGGGCTGGAAGCCGTTCCAACGCAATGTACAGGAGTTCCCAGCAGAGGCCGTCGCTTTGGTGCTCGCTTTTGGCTCCAATGGACAGCCCTTTCTGGCCCCTCCGCAAATTCCACTCCACAGCTCGCGAAGCATCACTTGGCCGTGACGGCTGCGTCCTGCAAAGCACAAGGGGCAGCGTGTAACGGCATAGCGGTTGGGCATCGGACTCACTGAGCATCAGCTCAGGCTCCGTGTCTGGATTGAAGCTGCTGACAACACAGTTCCCAGGAAACTCCATGACTATCTGCAAGGACACCTCAAAGAACATCGCGGGCAGACGCTTGCGGCATAAACGATGCCTGCCGTAAATCTGGCCAAGGCACCGAACCCAGCGGCGGCTTTCCTTTCTCCACTCGCAGCACATTGGTACCAACCATCACGAAATCCGCCTCGAAGTTGTTTGCCTCGTGGAGCCAGGAGGCTGATGAGCTTTTCGCAAATGCAGAGCCGAGTCCGAGGCATATCGCACCAGCGCCTGGGCTATGCCCTCATTGATTCCTTGCGGTGCAAAGACCTCACGAAACGGCAAGCGACAAGCATCCTGCATGCACCCAGAGAAAGGGTCACCTAGGCTCCGGGCGAGCTTCACGATCCTGTCCTTAAACTTCACCATCTTCCCGCTCGGCCAGGCTGCAGCATCTTGCATGCCTCCCCAAACAGGAAACGAGATGAAACGAAACCCAGGAGTTGCATCTTCTCGATTCCTGACATGGAGAAGAGGCCATGCGCTCCTTCGAAGATGGAGTCGTACTTGTGCCGGATGGCCTGTGTAACCCTGCTCTCCTCCGAAACAGCATGGGAGGAGGTCTGCGGAAGGAAGCTTCGAGGATTGGTCCTTCGAGTGTGGCTCCAAGTAGGGTCGGATGTAGACCACGTGGATGTGGTCTCCTCCACCACAGCTCTGTGACAGTCTTCTGTGACTACGATTGCGCGTCGGGCACAGACAAGTCTGTGCCTGGGCGAGATAGGCGGAGCGCATCTATGAAAGCTTTCGTGGCTGCAGGGTTTAGACCAGTGGACACGACGAACTTCGCCTTGGCGCAAGGAACCACAGAGCGCCAGGCGTCAGCTGGTGCAGATGAGTTCCAGTTCAGTGAGGTAGCTGGCCGCTTGAGCGGCAACTTGCTTGCGTCGGCTTCTTTGAACACCTTGATTGTCAAAACTCTCTGCATCAGATTGTTGTTTCCTCATTAATATAGAGGGCGTAATCATCTTGCGAATTGGGGAAACACTGACATCCAGCTGCCGAGCGTCAACACAACTGCACTTGCCCCGCTGCATCACCTGTCACGTGGACACTCGGCAATTCAGCTCCATCAAGCCGAGGCAGAGACCTCCAGCACATTGGAGCCGATGATGTGCCTGTCCTTACCTGTCAAAGTAAACCCATGTTCTCACTTCAGCAAAAGGGGTCTCTCCTGCCTTTGCGTCCGGCGAAGCCCATTACACAGAAGCTCGTGCCCTGGTCCTTGATGTCCTCCCATTCTCTCAACAACATTTTGCACAAAACGAAGATCTTTTGAAATCCTGGCAGAGGAGAACGCCAATCTTTACCCCGGGACTTCTCTGACGAACACCTGAAAACAGGTATCGCTGGCGCAGAAGGGCTGCCACCCAGATGTCTTCCGTAAGCCCAAGGTGCAGCAGAGCAGCTGATAGCGTATCGCTTTGAAACCAAGTAAGAGGTGCACTTGGCTTCCGCATCCTCAGAGTCTGGACCCAAGAGTCGCTTCGGGGTTGGATCTGGTCCTGTTCGGAACACAGCCTTTCCGGCCAGGCTGCTGCTTGGATGGCATTTCTCCGCCACTTTGGTGGGAGGTACTCCTGAACTCACTCGCATTCTGCAACAACGGCGTCAGCAGCCCATTCCTCGCCTTCGTGTCGTCATAGTAGTGAACCTTGTTGTGTCTAGGCCGTCGTAGGCTGATGCACAGATGCAGTCGCGTAGGGCCAGGACAATAAGAAGATCTGTTTCGCGGTCGCTCTGGGTGAAGCCATGGAGGACCCACTCGAAAGCGCAAGAGGACTGGCAGCGGGCAGGGTCAGAGAAGGAAGAAGACGGGCCCGGATAGGGCCTTGGCCAGCAAAAATTCCCGCCAGGTTCCGTCCGGGCCTGGTCCGAGCCGTCCACGCTCACCAAGACTCGAATGTGTTGGTGCAGCAGCTGGTCAATCCTGTCTTCTGAGAGAAGTAGTGCAGACAGAGTTGCGTTAGGACTCTCAGTTAAGGAAAGCTGCTTCTCACAGTCGATCCACGCAGCGTTCTCCATTGCTGCAGTGCCCGAGGCCATGCTCTGCATCAGTCAGTCTTGTCTGCTCAGTGCTATGACGTTCGTCTTTCTGTCATGTTGGATCCAGGCTTGCTTCTGAAGAACTTGCAAAGTTTTGGTGGGCCTTGGAGCTGCCGAACCGAGCAGTACCTTCTGTGTGGCGACTTGTTGGGCGAGCACTGCAGGTCCGCAGACAAGGCAAGTTGAAGCGCTGGGAGTTGCAACAAGGGCCTGGACGCTCTTGCCAAGGATCCTGCGCGTTTTGTAGCTCCCATATGCCCATATGCTCGGTGATCTGGTGTGTCTACATACTCATCTGCTTGCCTCTCTGTAAAAACTGTTTGTGCAAATATCTTGCACGGATACCAGCCAAGCTTCAGGCAAATGCATGTACGGAACAAACCCATAAACAAGCACACAAGTCAACAACATGATAAAGTGAGCACAACAGACAACTAAACGAGTAAAGAAGAAAACACCTGTCCACACCAAGACAGAAACAATAAACAAACAAGCACATAAACACCCAAACTAATTATAGAGAGAGATTGAATTATTATTCATGTATTTATGTATGTATGTATGTATGTATGTATGTATGTACATGTAACATGTATATATACTATACAGATGAAATATACCGTCGATGTTACATTCTTCAGACCGTATACCTACGTCGTTTGTTCAGGTGCACACACTTTTGCTTAACCTCCCGAAGTTACGAGCAGGAGCATGTCAGGGTCTGCTGATGCCTCGTCACGAGCACGGGAGCAGCGAGTAGTTGTCATCAGCCGCCTGGGCACAGAAACCGGTCAAACCTGCAAGCACTTTGCGGCTTCTCGGCTTGGCTAATCTCTAGTGCCTGCGCCAAGTTCCCTGGCTTATTAATTAACAACCTATGCAGGAAATAAGACGAAGTCTACCCGGGCTCGCTTGCAGCTTCACAATTTGATTCAGCAGTAGTACACGGCTATATTCACCAGCAGTCCTCGTCTTGAACTTGTTGTAGCAGTCGGAACAAGCAATAACGGTGGTACAGTAGCACAAGCACCAACAGTTGCGGCATGTGCAGTGTCGAACTGTGCTTGCATGTGCTAGGCTGGCAGCCAGGGACGGCGATGATCTTTCGCATGAACCTCAGCATCGCAGCTGTGACTCCTGGCGCCGCCATCTCCGAGCTCCCGACTCCGATCTGCATTTCTGGTCGGGTGGAACCTTTGACGCCAAGGGATGTGACATAAAGACACACTGAAATCAAAGGGCAAAGCATCCGACAGATGTGCTCCAGCCGGAGGGTCCAGCGGTAGATGCAGCCCTCGCAGCTGAGCTGCTACGAACTCACTCGAGAATCAAGGGATCGAGGCCTTGAAAAGCTTCAGCGTCCCGGCAATTGGTACTGCCCAGTGGGATTCCTCGCATGCTGGTTACACTCCCTGGAACCGCGGCAACCGACCCGCATCCTTGAAGTCACCAACTTTGGTCACGATCTCATTCTCTTCCCCACCTCAGTCAATATGCTGCTGTTTGCTTGTTTCATTCTCCACCTTTCTGGCATCACAGGCGACAGTCATGCCGGGGGCTGTGCTAATGTCGAACTCCCTCTGGAAATCTCTCGCCGCCTGCCCTGAGCCAAGCTGAGATGCAGACTGACGGAAGACAAGCAACACGCGACGCAAGGCCGACATGCAAAGGGCGGCCGCTGTCGAGGTAGAGAAGGGATCTCCTGGCGAGGGCCCCTTCTTCGGGAGATGAAGCAGCGCATGGGAGCAGGAGCCTACAGATGCCCACAGCCTACAGCAGCTCCTGGCGAAAGGCCTCAAGCATCTCCTGCGGGATCTGCCCATGAGTTAAAGGCTAAGATTCTAAGGCTAAGGCCTCCTCTGCGCGCTCAGGTGCCCGGTGCAGACCAGAAACTTTGGGTCGGCCCTGAGTGAATCCGCCATGAACGACCGGTCATGACTAGGATGCAAGGCAGAATGGTCGCATTGTTCACAGCTCCATCCGTCCCGTACTTTGAACTTCGGGAAAGAAACTAAACTGATGGCTGATCTCATCACCATGGAAAAGCATGTCATGTGAGCCTCGGAGTACGTGTAGCGCGGGTCCCAGCCACCATCGGCCATCCGTGCGACTCTAACTTGCGTCAGCCTGGCTGCCCTGGCTCGGTGGATCTGTGCTCGCTGCTCATGTTGCAACCTTCTACGGCTGCGCTGGGAGCCAGGGGGGGAGCACGGGCACAGGATGGCACAGGCGTCACCTTGTCTATCGCATTGCTGCATCCTTTGCTGCATCGAAGAGATCATATTAGATCATCCTTTGCACGCTGCTGCTCTTTTTACACCCCATCTCGAAAGGTCCCGACCCCGCCGGCAGCGGCTGGACTTCTTCTCCAAGGGCTGTCGTCGACCAAAGAGACACCTCGTGCGCTTGGAAACGGGCAAGGACAAACACGAGAAACAAGGCGCTGCAATTTGCGGGGCCGCTGCCAGAGCTCCAGGCCTCGGGTCCGACTCCTGGCGGACTGCATGGCGGACTGCACGGCAGATGCCCTCAAAAGACCCCTGCGATGCCCCCCTGTCACAAAGGGGCCCGGCGCCTGAGAAGGGCGTCGACCCGAAAGGGCTGTCCCAGCCGCCCCCGAAGCCTGCACACACCGGCACTCTCATGGGATCTCCTAAACCTTGTGCATCAGCACCTTTTCTTGATTTGTTCTTGCACGTTCAAGGCCTGGTGTAGGTGCCGAAGGGCTGGGTGGGGTACTGCGCAAGGACAGCAGTGCCTGAAGACAGTTGCAAGGCCTTGTGAATGCTCCTCCTGCCTGGGGCTTTCTATACATCAGGCAAACAAGGCATGAAGAAGGTTTGGCAGTGGCCTTCTGCAGAGCTTGCAGCTCACGCTTCTCCACGTCCAAGCGAGCCTGCTCTGCTTTGGCCTTCCGGGCAAGCGAAGCCTCGAAGAGAAGCCTCTCGGTGGCGAGAGCCGGGCCTGCTCACGGACCTCTTGCGTTGCCTGCTGAAGGGCACGGCCTTGTCCCTGCGCAGAGCAAAAACTTTCTTGGGTCTTGATGCTTCTGAGGAGGCCCAGGCAGAGGAAAGAGGAAAAGGGCCTTCTACAGGGAGGAGCCCAAAGCCCAGACGTGCCCACCGAAAGGTGACTTGGAGGATCCAGCTGGAGCAGCCACACAACAACGCCTTGTTAGCTCGTGGTCCCGTGTCTGTACACCGGTGCTCTTCCCCTCCGGACAAAACCTCTGCATCCGCGCCGGAAGCCTTATAAGGAATGGAACAGATCACTCATGGACTCATGGACTTCCTCTTACCCTGGATGGGGCCTTGCGCAGCAGGTTTGTCCTTGAAGCTCTCGCTGCTGTCGGAGAAACATGGGATGGCCGACAAAAGCGAAAGGAGTTTAAAGCTTAAACCATCAGGGATTTCCCTGGGTTCGCAGATGTCTGCGGCAGGCACAGGGAATAGAAGTCCCAATGCTCCAGAAAGAAGGAGCAACCGGGCCAGGAGTTGTTGGGGAAGGACACCACCTGAGGAGTGCTACTGACGTTCAACAAAGTAGCAACGGGCTTTTGGGAACTCCAAGAGGGCCAGGGAGGCAAACCCTCATCCTGCCCTTCATGGTCATACGAGTCGCCGTTGGGATTGCCGAATTTAGCAAAATTCGCCCAGTACTTCATCATCCACTGTGACACCTCCAAGGCAGCGCCAGAAGGCGAATCCAGAGTCCCGAAGACAAAGGGAATCTCGTCTCCGTGGAGAACTAATCCAGAGCTGCCTGTTTCCGAGAACTTGTAGACAAATGCAGGAGATCCATGAAGCGCCGAAGAGCCTGCTATCCACTGTGCCGTGCATGAGTAGCTGAAATCTGTTTCGCAAGCCTGAGCGGCATGGAAGTATTTCGACATCCACCAAGCTTTGCTGGTTGTTTCGGGCTGAAAGATCTTCTCCAAAGTCTGCACCCTCTCTTCTCCGTAGAGGTTGGAGTAGTACTGCTGCATGGATGCTTGTGACATCGTCGCCATAGCAAAGGGGAATCCTGGCACGAACATGGCCCCGTCGTTAAGATTGAAACCAGCAATCATCGGCGTGTCCTCAGGTCAATGAGCCAAAATGAAGGAAGTCCAGTGACAGATGAGGATGCCAACATACACACTTAGCACTCGGTACACAGAAGTGACAGCTTAAAGGCTTCTTTGTTCGGAGCAGGCATCCGGGCGAAGAAGGCCAGACTGCGCCAGCTGCACAGGCGTCCCCCGGACCAGCACGCCATCCACCACAGGGGCCCAAGTGCAACCGTCCTTGCAGGGTACGGCATCCACCGCTTCCGCCACCACGGTTTGCGAGGCAGACACGATGCAAGACAAGAGGCTGGAAGAGTTGGAGCACTTTGACGTGGCTACAACCTTCTGAAAATTGGAATGTGCACCACTCAGGGTCAGATAGGTCCAGGCAGATCCAGTGCCACTCTCCATGATCCCTCGCTGGTAGAAGGGCCATGCCTCCTGCATACCGAGCAGCAGACTGACCGAACCGGCCCCTGATGACTCTCCGAAAATGGTCACTCGCTGGGGGTCCCCGCCAAACAAAGCGATGTTATCCTGAACCCACTTAAGGGCAGCGACTGTATCCAGGAGCCCGTAGTTGCCAGTGGAACCCTTAGGATCCCGCGATCGCAGAATCGCATCTCCGAGAAAACCAAAAACGCCAAGCCGGTACTGGATGGACACAACAACGACGTCCTCTTGCACAGCCAGGGCAGATCCGTTGTACTGTGGATCAGATGCCGACCCACTCACGTAGCACCCACCATGGATCCACACCATCACGGCTCTAGAGCCACTTGTGCTAGGTGTCCATACGTTCAGTGACAAGCAGTCTTCCGTGTAGCCGTAGCACTTTCCCCTCGTGTAACCCTTGCAGTTCTCGGGATTGGCCGCGTAGTAATCGAAGGACTGCGTGCAGGAAGGGCCGAAAGCTGTGGCCTGAAAGACCTGGCTCCAGGGAGGCATTTTTTGTGGTGCGGCCCAGCGAAGGGCTCCGACTGGAGCCTGGGCAAAAGGGATACCCAAATATGTCTGCACTCCACTGCCCATCAGGCCCTGCACTGGACCGGATGTTGTTTGCACGATGTCCGTCCTGCCTGTCTCGGTGTGAGTGTAAGCACTGTTTCGGACAGGTGGAACTCCAGTGGCTTGCTCCGGTTGTCCATCGGACTCAGGCGGCGGGAGTGGGTCGAATCTGGGAACCTTGCAAGATTCGAAGCAAAAGCCCGGGCCAGGCTTCAGCGACATGTCTGCAGGCGTGCAGTGTCTGCCCCAGGTGCACCCAGCAGCTGCACAGTCTGTAGGATCCGGCAGAAGGCATTCGTCAGCCCACCTGCACTGATGCCTCCGGCCGTCCCAGAAGCACTTGTTTCGTGTGTCGTCCCAGCTGGCAACAGCACCTCCGGTGGTTAGTTCCGTGTGGCACACATTCCATGGGCGCTGATCGCATGGCATCTCCGGCATGCAACGCTCGGAAGGAACATCCCACACGCATTGGTGCTGATGTCGAAATGCCAGGCATTCGCTGACACTGCTGTGCTGCTCGCACTGGTTCAAAGGAACATCCAGAGCATGCAGTGGTTTTAGGATACAGTGCAGTACGAGAGCAGCTGCATAAGATGCCATGGCCGATGAGCTACTCACAACTTCCACAGCGTTCCAAATCTTCTCGAGAACGCACCTGCTTCAACAATCCTCTGCTGCACAAAACCAATGAACCAACTTCACAGGCCACACCGTACGGCTTTATGTCAAGCATGTGTGGGAGTCGACAGCTACACCTTGTCCCTACAGTAAGTCACCAAGCCAAAGCTTCGAAGGCCATGCTGTGGTCAGTTCTGATCCCCCACCCTCTGTAACTGCTGCGGCGGCTTGCCTCCATGCTAAAGCTTGCCTGTTCCAGCTTCGTCAGGGACACTTCCATGGCCTGCCACAGCTTTATAGATCAGCTGTTTGTCGATCACAAAGCTCTTGTGACCTCTGAATCACGCGAGTACTCTTCCTGCAGCCGTTGCAGGAAAAAGGCCTTCACAAGAACAATGTGCAAGATGCACTTCGACAGACCGCCCAAACTCGAGCTGCGTGCCTCCTCTTGCTGCTTCCTCGCACCAGAAATCAGAAGGGCGCTCTCCTGATGCCTCCGGTGCCTCAGATCATCTGAATTGACTGCCGCAGACAGACAGTGCTCGTTCGCCGCTCCAGCCGAGAAGCTCCAAGCGCAGCTCCGCAAGCTGCCGCTGTGAAAGATCAAGCTGCTGCATCAAGTGGCCTCGCTCGGTCTCCTGGAGGACAGGAACTGCGCGTCAACACCCTTTTTTTCTGCAGCCAGCTCTCCAGCTTCTGAACTTCAGCCTGTTCGCGGCGAGCCACCTCATCTCAGGCACTTACTGCCACACTGTATGTCAAGAGCTGAGGTGCCTTTTCCTCACGCCGACAAGCCTCCTCCAAACGATGTAACTCCTGCCGACACTCAGGGAATTCCCACGCGGACCTGGGAAACACTGCCAGCCTGGCTCCACTCCGCGACATCTTGACGCAGACGCTTCGCCAGCACTTGCCTTGAATCGTTTCGAGCATCTGCGACTTAGCAGGAGTAGATGACTAGGTTCTCAAGTTGCAAAAGATACTGTAGATTGGTTTGCGGCCAAGTCTCTCGGCTTGCAGTAGCACCAGCAGGTGTTCTGCCGGCTGCGAACGAGGCGCAACGTTTCCGTTTGCCCCACTGTTGGAGAGCTCTGAGCGTGGCGGCGATGGCCCAGCACTGCCCTCAGCAGACGGCCACCACGGCTCGGCTGCTGGCTTGGTGGACCGATGTTCCTGCAATACACCACACAGACTTCAGCATGGCATGCGAGACCAGCACATGCCTCTTCTGCGCTGCGGTCAGGTGGCCTCATGCAAACAGCTTTGAATCTCGTATTTTCTGCAGCGGATCAGGTGTGCTGCGTCCTCGCCGCACTCTAAGATCGGAACCAGGCTGTTGAGTCGCGAGTGCGGAAGGGGTCCTCGAATTGACTGGCTGGGTTCTCCATGTTGAATCTTGAGCCAGATCTGTCTAAGCGCACGCATTCCGAGATGGACGTACATCTTACCAGATGATCCCAAGAACCGACTCGGGGATCTCCGAACAACTGATGGTCGGATGGCACCGGTAGCGGCATTCTCCGACTGCACAGGCAGGTGAAGTACTCACCAAGGCACTGCGTCAGCTGCGCTACTGTGAAACTCATCGAACGATGCACCACAAGCTTTCTATGGAAAATGTGGGGAGTGACATTATCTTTTAGCCTGGACTCGGCAGGCTGGTTGGAGTTCCGATGTTCGGTGCTACCAAGAACTTGGAGTCGAGTCCGAGCCGGGCGGCCTATTGCGACGCATCAGGGGGCACCATGTTCTCGACTTCCTTCGTGGCGAAAGGAAGCGTGGGCGAGAAAGGGCTGTAGGCTGCAGGCAGGCTCATCCTGATTGATGTCGGCAATGGACGAGTTCGCCTTGCCGAGATCCTGCAGAGATCCGCAAAGGCCACGAAGCGTTCTTGCCACGTGCTGGCATGTTCTGGCCTCGATGGAGGGACCCGCAACATCCTCATCTCCTCACAGATCAGAGAAGCGGCAGCTTAAGGCCAAGGCAAGTCCTCCAGCGAATGGCTCGGAGTCGAGCCGGAGTCCCACGCTCCTCGGCTCAGGCCCTTTTTATGTCTCTACACCGAAGCGCAGCTGGAATCGCACCTCCAATCCCAGGCGCGCCTGGTCAAACACCCGAGCACTGCCAGGACGCTGGGAGAAAAAGAAGGGATAGGAGTTACAGGGAGGAAGAAGGAGAAGGCAAACGACAACGAAGACTCTCAATCATGGCCGTGGCCTCCGTCCCTGTCGTAGGCTTGCACCACCTCCTGCGCTCTCGCACATGATGCGTCGCTGCCAGAAACTGCTAGAACAGAGCAGATCTGCGTGACGCCTGCAGTTGGGAAGCGACCACGGAGCCCACCACCTCGCCGCCGGCCTCCTGCACCGGGGTGTTTGCGACGACTACTTCTCCTTGGGAGCCCAGCTCTGCCTCGGAGGTGTTGGAGCCACCCTCGAAGTCCATGTTCTCAGGGCTGCTCCACCTGACACACGACGGCATGGCACCGAGTGCATCTGCTCAACACTGCACCTCGAGCTGAGACCTGTCTCCAAGATGTTGGCCATGGCCTTTCCAGCAAGGACTCAAGGTCATGCGTTATCATGCTCAGAGGATAGAATCTGAGCAAAGCGCTGCGCTGCACTCCTTAAGAAACATGCTTCGATGCGTCGTGTCTCCGGGAGTGACTCGCTAAATCTCCTGGTCTGTCTCGCAAGCTTGCTCTGAGACCTCAGCATCAGGGCGCCAGCTTTCAAGCCCCGGCGCTTTGGGATTATGCAATGCCAACTCCCTCCCCCCCTTTTTCCCGCGGCCAGCCCGACAACCTCGCAGCGCATGCAGCGCAGCTCCTCGCTCTTACCTCTCTCCCTCGCCGGGAGGTGCTCCTTCGAAATCTCCGACGTCCTCACTCCATCCTCGACGAGTCTCCGACGATCGCTCGGAACCTGCAAGCAAAAGAACAGGCAGTGGCTTCAAGGCTTTCTGTGACCAGCTCTGGGTGCCTTCATGTGCTTGCATGCTCAAAGCCCAAGCAGCTTTCGTGTCTGGTCTGAGATGACCTTCTTGCAGGCACCCGAAAATGGCACAGAGAGACCATTTGCACTGCGCAGGTCGAGCCTGCGAAGCCAGGCTGCGTGGAAGAAGCCGGGTGAACACCAAGTGAACGAGCTTGTTCAAAGGCCCCGTTACCACCCACGAATTCCTGACCGCACATAGCACTACACAACAGCAAACGGCAAGCAAAAGCTCGATTCAACCAAGCCAGCGCATGCCTGCTACAGCGCACGGCTAGCTGGGTGCCGGGATGCAAGGGGCCTGCCCAGGTTTGCCAGGCACTCCGAGACAACTTCGTAGGGCTCCTGCAGGAAGCATAGCAGGGAGAGCTGAGCTGCACAAGCCGCAAATTCCCACAACGTGCTTTGGCGGCAACCTGCACAGTCACCGCGACCCCCGACACTCGGCAAGTCGTCTTTCCTGGCTTCCTCTCCGGACGTCCTTGTTACCTGTCGCTTGCGCAGGATACGGAGAATTCGGGCAGCGTCTAAGGCTGAAGGGTTGCTTTCCAACCTCTGCGTAATTCTGCGTATGGTGAATCGAAGTGCGGACGTTGGTTTGAATGCACATCCTCCCCATCACAGTGAGGTCTGATCCGTCTCTTCCGCTGGGCCGAGCCAGTTCGGCAGACCTTGAAGATCCTGTCACGCAATGCCGCAGCCCTGCGTACGACTGCAAAGATGATGAGAAGAGTCGTCTTCACACGGCACGTAGTAACGAGTCTTCTCATCGAGGCTTCTCATCATCAGCACCGAAGAACTGCCGCCCCCCAGCCTCAACTTCCTCATGGACCCATCCAGGTCGCCAACACCACCGGAACCCGAACACGGCAGCAACTAGCCAACGAACTCCCAAACGCTCTTAACGTGTTCGTGTTGAGCGCACGAGTCCTGCTCTATGTACGTGTTCCTTGCTGTCTCCTTAGCCACCCACTTTCAGGCTTGGCTGCAACATTTCCACAAAAACAGCTCAAAGCTCCTACCATTGCTGCCGGGATTCTTTGGAAACGGCGCCAAGGTAGGTCGGAGTGACCGTGGGTCCAGCGAGGCAAGCCATGGCATCGATTCCTCAGGGAGAATCGGTTCGAATCGGTAAGTCTGAAATGCCCCAGACTGCCCCAGACTTCTACTCACTGGACATCCTGTTCCACTTAATTCGGTGTTCAAGCCCTGTGCAAACGTCGTGATGTAGGCCTGCAGGCGACAGGAGCACGACTCTGTGCGGCAGTGCGGCTTTCTGCCCGTGGTCTGTGTGCAACATGGGACAAGCAAGCGCCAGTCCGACAGGCTCTTTCTCAAGTCTCAAGTGGATTTCGAAGGGTGAACGCTGCGAGCCAGTCTGGAACCTCGCCTTGGAGGCAGCATAGTTGGCAATAAAGGCACCGCCTCTCAGGGCCGCAGTATGGGGCTCATCTCCCAAGGGCCATGAAAGCACAAAAAGCTCTCACTGCGGCCTATTTCCCCTGCCAGAGAGGACATCAGCACCATGCCGCCTGCAGCACCTCCCAAAGTTGCTAGGTGCTGGCACAGTCAAGACACCTGGCACTTCCGAGCCTTGTTGTGATAGGTGGTTTCCGAAGACGTGCGCACTAGTCAGCATGGCCAGGATGTTGACATCGATCACGGTCTTGGACTCACCTGTGCGAAGTAAGATGAAGCAAGCGTTACCAAACCGGGCCACAGGCCCGGGACATGTCCAGCCTAAGCCACCATCCAGAAAGGTGCCACGTGGCCCCGAGAAAGCTGCATTCACGACCAGGAGTCGGACCTGGACCGCAACACAAAGAAAATTCGCCTTCATTCGCCTTCGCCCTTCGCCACAGAGGACAAAAAAATTTCGGGCGCCTGATGTCTTTCCAGGGTCTCCAAGAGCCAGGTCTCCGTGAGGTTCGCCAGGTCTTGGGTCCAGGTCTCGATCTGCGAAAGCGATCGCAAAATGCGCAAAGCGCGTTGGCTACAGGCAGCGCTTTTCAATGGCTCTCACCCAGCCTCGATGTCCACCTTGCTAAGCAGTGCCTCCTTCAAGGTCTCCATCGGCTTCGGTTGCCTCTCGAGACGCTTTCGCAGCAGAGGCCGTGGAGAATCGCCCTATGCTGCTATGCCGTTGGAAGCCTGGCCACCAGGATCAGGTTCAGCTTTAGGGCCGCCAGCTGATGTGCCCACGCCTCTCATTGCACTTCAATCCACTCCACTTGCAAGGCAGATCAGCGAGCAACATGCCCTCCTTATCTCAAGCGGGGAAGCCGAAGCGCACACGGATCCAACGAGGCTGTGACGATTGCCACCGGTGCTCGCAACACCGCACCAATCACACACTGCAAGTCCGTGCATGACATCGCGGGGAGCTTGCTCTTCACGTTCTCACTGCCAGAGCAGTCGTTCTGACAGAGCGGGGCCGACTCGGAGTGCCTGCAGAAGGTCACCCAGCTGGTTGTCGTGACTCTTGCCGTTGTCCATCCAGCGTTCAGTCCACATCCATCTCCATCAAATTGCTCTGGATTTCGTCGAAGGTCAATGTGCCGTTTTTATCGCGGTCCATGGTCTGAAATAGTTTATCAATCTTCGCTAGCGTCTCCGCAGACACGAGGCCCTCCCGTATCAGGATGTATTTCTGGAACTCCTGGCAATCAGCAGGACATCTCGCAAGAGCATGTCAACTAGTGAGCTGAAAGTCCTAAAAGTCACTGTCACGGTTTTTGTGCAGACTGGCACACATCAGTTTCAGACGATGGCCACGGCATGGTTCTTCCTTCAATGGACAATATCGAAGAACCCTTCAAGATGAACTCCTGCTGGTCAATGGTGCCGGTTCCATCAGTGTCAATGCTATCAAAAAGCGCCCGGGTCATGAGGGGCCGCTTCTTTGCCAGAGATGTGATGCTATGCAGAACTTTCGACACCGCGCCAACCACGTTCCCGAAGGACAGAACACCAAGCATCATCCATATGGAGCCGAAGAGCCTTCCCGCGCGACTCTTCGGTGCATAGTCACCAAATCCGACAGTCGAGAACGTAATCACTGCTATGTACACCGCATCGACGAGTCTTTTGGTGTCTCCTCCTGTCTCTTCACATCTGTCGCTTACGCAACCTCCGATGTGACTGGAACCGTAGGAGCAGGAGCAGCGTTCTACTGCAATGAAGAACACAGCCCAAGTGACAACGAAAAAAAGGTAGATGGCAACAGCCGTCCTCAGCTGATGCCAAGATGAAGGCTTTGCAGGCCGCTGCTTCTCGACCTTCGTCAGCTTGTTCTCCACGTTTTGCAAGGACTCCTCCAGGCCGTGCTCCGCACTGTGCAGCAAGCTGTCAAAGAGGCTATTCACGATGTTAGCGACGATCACCGTGCCCAGGAGCACATAGCAAGTCATGAAGACCTTCCCCCCATGACTGATGGTGACATCACCATAGCCCACTGTAGTGATGATCTGTACCACGACATAGAGGGATGTCAAAGGCGTCCAGTCCTGCTGAAGGGTCAAGACCACAATGCCCGCCGAAAAATACAGCGCCAACAGCAGGGCGTTCATCGTTCGGGGCCAGCGGGCGCAGCGCAGGAGCATCGGCAGGACCTCCTCCTCCGAGTTCGAGTCGGCATCGGAAGATGAGATCTCAGTGCTAAGGGCAACAGAAGCCATGGCTCGCCCTGCTCACTGCTCTCACATGCTGCACTGATACCAGAAGCCTGAGCCAAGACCGTGATGACAGTTCAACAGTATGTTGTTAGGAGCTATGTGTCCATCGGCGTCCCTATCGGCCTCCCCCAGACCGTGGCTGCCGCCCAGCACCAGGGCCCATTGCCCCTGCTTCACATAGCCCGCCGCCGAGGCGCTGAGGTGTCCTCGAAACATCTGCAGATCCTCTTAAAAGTTATGATGCCCGTTTCTTTCATCTTTCTTTACCTTCTATCTACATCGTGTTCGTGCCACTGGTCCAACTGTCATTTGGAACGGAGTGGGTCAAGGAATGCCTGCCGCCAAGATTCGGTGCGGCTGCAGCAGGTATGCGACAATGGCTGCCAGGATAGCAAAGACCCGAAAAATCATCCTGGCACCCCCGAACTCGCAAGCAGAACTAAAGACCACGTCAAGCTAGCAACATGAAAGTTGAAGCTTCCACGCTACAGGGGATACAAAGCAGGGACATCAAGCAGCGTGCCCCGCTCCTGCGAGTGACCCATGCCGGCAACATGGCTCTAGGGCACTTGTAGGAAGTAAAGACTTGGATAAATGTCAAAGAAGAGTTTGGTGGATGCCAAACTTCCCTTCATGCTGGCTTGGCTTCGCAATGGCTGCTTCACGGCGGGCTGTTTCATACGCATCGCACATGGCGCCCAAATCTTCAAGCCTTCAGACTTCAGATAGTGTAGCTCGGAACCTGGCTTGCCCTGCAAGATTGGACGGCGTCCTAAGCATGGCAGGCAAGGCAAACTGTGTGCCACACAGCGACATTGAAACTCGACTCTTCTTGCAGGTGAGCCGCTCAGTCACGCGATTGGGAAGAGACTCGTCCTGGTCACACGCCACGCCGACGACAGTAAACACTGCATCTTCACCCAAGACAGGCAAGGCAGGCCATTGCTGTGCTAAAGTTCAGCCTTGCTGATCTGATGTCCACTTTAGAGCCCCGCAGAGGTGCCTGCGCAGCTGCTAGAAGCTGCTCCATCAGCAGGGGGTCCATGGCATCCTGGCAATATCTGGCAACAAGATAGGGACCCAGAACCTGACCCAGCATCACAAATTACTGCGGCATTGACCGTCACTCAAATCTTGGCAAACGAACTTCAAGGGGTTCATTGCAGAATGTTTTTCCAAACATTCACAGGCTGTCTATTCAATTCCGGTGTTGTAACAAAGTCTGGCACAAACACACACTCAAAACACCTCTTTAACCGAAGATGTGTGTCAATCGCTTACTTCCCCAATAAGCCACAGAAATGAAAGGTCAAACTTTGCGATTTCTACTAAACTAAAGGTTGGGTAATGAGGATCTAAGATCGAGAACCGTTGTGCTTCGACCGCTCTGCACAGCCACGTTTCAGACACCCCCTGACCGAAGGCAAGCACGTGTCGGCGAATGACTCCGGCCCTGCCTGACTGGACGGTGCCCTCAGTATGGCATCGCAGTATGGAACGTGAAGACCCCTCCGTCGCATGTCTCGGACCCACTCAGAACTTATCGCCTTATCGCAGACGAGCCGCTCGGTCAGGTGACACGGAAGAGCATCGCCCTGATCATCCGCCTCCAAGAATGAAACGTTCACAGTGCCAAGCTAAGCCACTGGTTCAACATGCAGACAAGCTAGGGCACGGTCAAGACTGGCTTCCCTTCGAAAACATAACACATGACCCAAGCGAAAAAACTCCACAGACGATTGCACCGCGCCAAGAGATTAGCTTTTTGTTGATCATTCGCTGCCTCGCAACAGGTAATTCAATCTAACACATCTCCTTCACTCGGCTCTCATCAATCCATGGGTCCCGCAAATGCCAGCCCACTGTTTGTCAAGAGAAACATTCGTTTCGCCGAAGATAGATCTGACCGTCTGAACTGCACACCCCAGCGTACCCAAATCCCCTGGCAAGAGGAAAATTGTCTGAAGGCGAAACCTAAACGATTGCAGTGTGTATCTCGAAGCGAAGCTGGATGGACCAGTTGTCTCTGCTGTGCTGACAGAGCAGTCAGCTCTTTCACTGTTCATGCTTTAGCTGCTCTTGGCTATTTGCCGGTTCATCCTTGGCTTCCCATTGCGTCCTTTCTGTCTTTCTCTCTCGCCTTCATCTTGTTTTGCCTAACCCGTAGCACACAGCAACAGTGCTGCTTTCCTTTGTCTCGACTCGACTTCCTGAACACCGTTTGTCTTGTTCATTTATCCACTCCGGGCTTGATTCGACATCCACTTGGGCGGCTTCAGCAGTGCCTGCGCGGCTGCTTGAAGCTGCTCCATCAGCAAGGGGTCCACGGCAGCCTGGCACGAACATCACTCGTAACAACATACCACACAATTGTGCATTGCGCAGCTGGGCAAGCTTTCAATTGCTACAGAGGGACTGAAGTTTGCAGAAACGGGCCCTTTTGAACTCGTAAACAGTCTTGAGACACACCCACAGCTTGCAACCGAAACACAAAACTTTTGCAACAAGTCTGGCGCAAACACACACTATCACACACTCAAAGAGCCTCTTCAAAAGAAGATGTCTGTCAATCGAGAACCGTTGTGCTTAGACCGCTCTGCACAGCCACGCTTCAGACACCCCCTGACCGAAGGCAAGCACGTGTCGGCGAATGACTCCGGCCCTGCCTGACTGGACGGTGCCCTCAGTATGGCATCGCAGTATGGAACGTGAAGACCCCTGCGTCGCATGCCTCGGACCCACTCAGAACTTATCGCCTTATCGCAGACGAGCCACTCGGTCAGGTGACACGGAAGAGCATCGCCCTGATCATCCGCCTCCAAGAATGAAACGTTCACAGTGCCAAGCTAAGCCACTGGTTCAACATGCAGACAAGCTAGGACACGGTCAAGACTAGCTTCCCTTCGAAAACATAGCACATGACCCAAGCGAAAAAACTCCA